TGGTTTTTATCGATAAACTCCCGGTTACCATTACCTTTAAACACAGCCAAACCAAATTTAGTCGCTTTCTCTGTGTTTTCAGGGACTGCTTCGTTGTTATTTGAGTGATTTATTCGCTTGTCACGGATGCAAACCGGCACGCCACTTTTTCTCGAGTTGCTCGGAGGTAAATAGCAAAGGATATTCGGAGTTTGATTAGCCAATCAGAGCGCGCCTTCAACGCTATCCACTGTTTTAATATACACTAATTACTTTTACTGTAATGTTAGGGGTGGGGAATAGAACTCACTGTTTATTGGATACCTATCAGCCAAGAGGTAGCAAACCGTCCTTCGCAAGATATCGGCATAAAAGTTTTCTTTTAAATTTGAACCATAATTACCTTGGAAACAATATAGTTCTTGAACCATTTTCTTCTGTTTTCAGTCATAGACAATAACATCTTTATCACTTGTAAAATTTTTCTTAAATCATGCAGGAGGAATCGAAGATACAGTGAAAGAAACAATTAAAGAATGCAGCGATCGAGGTCAGTCGTCTGGAAGACCGTGAGAACACTGTTTAAACTTTATGAAGTGGTGCTAAGTCAGAAACTTACAGTATAGGCTCGACTCAATCGATAATCGAAATAGCTTTGATCGTTAAACATGAATAATATATAGACCTTTCTAGCTTAACGATACTCACTCTTAAAGAAATTTCTTTTGATCTGTACATCAGGTTTTCCATAATCAGGAGTTACAATCAGCAAAAAGTTTTACGAAAAACATTTTATTTTCATTGGATGGACAACACCTGTAAGCTTATTTTTCCGAAAAACAAGATATTATTCTGTCGTTTCAGTAATTTATTCGACAATGGTGTCGAAGTCATACAATTAATTTCAATTTAGTTCCAAGCACCAGAAATATCACAGTTTTTCGCATTCTTTATATTTGTTACTAATTTTACTATTTTTAGGTATTTTTGATCCAACTGAACTTATCAACGGGATCGAGATTGCATCATTTGACCCTTTGTAGCATAAGCATTGATGTACTTAATGCTCCTCTCTGTATATTTCCTTTGGAACTAACAAAGAGAATTTTTTCTGCAATTTAAGGGGGCACTTCTGTGAGCGAGAGCAACAAGGAATTGAACCAGTTACACTCTGCTGAAAGAGACATTTATGTCACTAGGAAGAAATCTCTGCTTCCCTATGGATTTTCTGTTGACTCCAGAGACGCAACAGGCAGAACACCCCTAATGAAAGAAGCTTGGAATGGCGATGTTCAGGCGGTGAAGGGTCTGATTGAGAGAGGAGCCAATCCGTCCTTGATGGACAACAGAAGGTGGAATTCGTTACATTTCGCCGCATGTGGTGGTGACCTCGACATCATCTCTCTGATCCATTCTCGTGTGAAGGATATTGAGTCAAAGGAGGTCGAGGGTTACACGCCACTCATGATCGCTGCGTTTAATGGAAAATTACAGGCAGTGAAATGGTTTCTTGAGGAGGGGGCAGCTAAAACCTGTGTATGCAACAGAGGTTGGAATCTGTTACATTGCGCAGCACTGAGTGGTGACCCAGATGTCATGGGTGTTATCCTTCCTCACGTGCCTGATATCGAGTGTAAAAACGCTAACGGGCAAACACCTCTAATCATTGCTGTTCGCAAAGGCAATCTGCAGAGTGTAAAGCTTCTTCTTGAGAGGGGAGCCAATCCCTTTGCTAAAGATAACAATGGCCAGGATTCTTTATATTATGCCTCATCAGATGACTCAAATATGTTTGACTTTCTGCTGAGTCACGTGGGCAAAAGTGAATTAACAACCGGCAATGATTAACTCAGGTTGGTGAGATAAGTTCTACAGCTCGCTTCATGTCCGCTAAATTCTGCAATGTCCAGATGTAAATTGCTGGTTTGTTTGCCCTGTCATCTTCCGCAAAACTCGGCATATTAACGAGGTTGTCGAATGTTTCAATTTTGTCATAAGAAATTCACTTCTCACTTGTTTTCGGCTTCCGTAGGCTTCTGAGTTATAGTCAAAAGCCTTCACAAAAATTTGATCAGATAAACATCAATTAGAAATATCATGAGTTTTCTTGTAAAAATTAGAACAAATAAGCAGTCGTAATATTTTCAAAATAGGGGTTCGTGCATTGATGTTGGTCTTTGCAAAAAACACACATTTGTATTTAGCCAAAATCGTGCGATGGTCTACACAAATAAACAAATTTTTCCACTGAATGATTTCGTTGAGAGTGATTTTTCAGTTAGCCTTTGTTAGCAAGTTTATGACTTGAGTAAGTCAATAAAATTTTATCTCATAGAAGGCTTACTATCTGACTGTCTGTGTGACATATTGAATATGTTCCTTCTAAAACAACAGCAAAACGCTCTCTCAACATGATATATATTTTAAACCAAGACTCTCATCGCGTTGAATTGGCTGTAGGGTTTAAAAAGTCAGAAATTAAAACTCGGGAAATATCACCGGATATATCCAGTTTTAGCTAAGGAAATTTTTGGCCACGCACCGTGTTTAGACCAATTGCGCGTTAGGAAAAGTAGTTGATAGATTACCAAGACAGATAGCCTCTGTGGGTAAGGCTCTATTTTAATTAATTCAATAAAATTTAACCGGACAGGACGAAATCATAGCTCGTGTTTCGTTGGGAATTACTTTGAAATTTCTATCAACTCAGAGGATAATGAAAAATATTCATACTTCTTTGAAATATGGAAATAGTGAAAGGACTGTGAGCAAGAGGAGTACAAGCGCCCTGAGGGACTGATTCAGGAAATTCCGAAAGAGACGCTAAGGGTATATTCGCTGTAACGCAATCCCCGCCCGCCAAACGATTGGATAAACTAATAGAGTATTCCATACTGCCACAGTCAAGGTGTTCATCACTACTTAAAATGCACCCATGAAGCATTCTCAGCTGGATGGGTTACCAATTTCTCTAAGGTATATAGCTGCGCTGCTTGCGCTTCGTGCGTGTTGCAAGCTACAAGTTCGAACTATTATTTATTCTCGGAAAGAAGGTCAACCTAAAGTGGTTTAAAATGTGGATTGACCTTTCATATTTAACTTGGCTACTCCAGAGTTATTTATTCTAAGGAGAGCATATTTGCAAAGACGCTAAGTTCATTTTACGTTTCAAAATTAGCGTCGGTAATCTACAAAAAAATTAATGAGACCTACCTCCTTTTATAGAACATGTACGCTCACAAAGGGGCATGAAATTGTGTACACCTAGCAATTAAGGTCCTTTTTTGCAGTAAGTTGTACTGCCAAGCACATATAGTTTTACAGTAAATGTATGGTGTTTCGAAAGGAAAGCTTTATTTTTCTCCTCTTTCGTTTCAGTTGTGTCAAGGTGGGGGCTGGGAAAAAAGCTTGGGTTAAACGTTTATCCTTTTTCAAGTTATAACAGTTAACGATGATTTGTGAAAGCACAGTTATAACCCTTTAAAACTACCATAAGAAATTAAGAAATAATTTCTCCTTACATTATCAATACATTATCAAGCAGACAAGTGATGAGAATAAAGAAAAATACTAATTAGGGGATTATTAGTCGATCCAATACCTAAAGACTTACGCATTTGTTCAAATAGCATAAATCGGACATGTGGTATCATTTTACATCTCTTTTGTTAATTAATAACAAAATATGTAAATTCTGACCATAAGATTAAGAATTACGCTGTTTTGAAAATGCCACACAAACAGCACTTTCTAAATTTGAGCAGGTGTGCTGTTGTTCCAAGACGCTTTTCTTAAAAGTATAACAGGATCTGGAGTCCTCACCACTATCTGTGTTTCGTATTTAGGATTGATGTATCGGAAACAATAAAAATTTTTCGGCAACTAGTCTTTTCGAGCTACAGGAGTTCTGTGAACTTTACTAGTTTTCAACGGTGAAAGTGCATATGCCTTAATTTATGCATATTTGTGGCTACTCCATTTCTCGCTCAAAATCAATATTTGGGGCAGTGCCTATTTTCAAAACTAACACGGTTGTTTTTTCAAGGTGAGAATGTCCATAAATGCATCTAAACTTGCCTTAAATTTGGCAATTACGAAGGTAGAAATGAACCTCTTCTGTGTGACATGATGTGTAACTGTCTCGTGCGGGCTAAAACACGTTGGAAAAAATTCCATGAAGTTACTCTTGACCGCTGTCTTATGCTTTAAAAACTGAAATTGCTTTCAGTTACAGATTTAGAAACGCTCATTGAAAATATGTCATTATGAAGAGAACCTGATGTCTTACCTGAGCTTGAAAACATCTCCACGAGAATGGGTTGATTTAGTCATGTGTTACGCTCTTCACATTGAGAATTGATGCCATGGATGCATGACACCAATTCTCCAAACACAGTAGTTCTATGATGCGAAGAGTTTGATAAAACACTCCCTGAAAACAGAGCTCAACTTTACTTGGATATGGTTGAATGTGTCTTAAAAAGGTATCAAAAAAGGAAAGAACAACTAAAATGGAATGTAGACCTGACAAACCCTTACAAACGGAAATTGAATTGCCTTGGGTTGGTAGCGTTGAAAGGTTTACTGAACAACAAACTGGATTTTGATGAAACTGAATTGGGAAACCATGCAAAAGACTTTATTGAATTTGGATTTCTATCAGTGCAGCCTGGTGGCAGTAGATTGAGACAAAAAGTGTATTATGCTTTCCCATCTAATAATTTTCAAGAATGCTTTGCAGCATTCTTCATTTGCTCTCACATTCAACGGAAGGAAATCGCGCCTGAAGAGCTAGTTTCCGATGATAGGTATTTCGGTAGACTTAATCAAGTACTTTTGTTTTCATGCGGAACTTTAACCATGCATTGTAGTGAACAAGTTGTTCCTCTTATGAACAGTTTAAAAAAACAGACGTAAAGACAGCAGGGTGACAATAACTCTCAAAAAAGAAACGAAAACTTTGAGTTGAAATTTACAAGACATGTTTCGACATTCTCATGTCATCTTCAGTTGCAAATGAGCATTTAACGGCTGTACATTTGAATTTATATTAAGGTACGTTACAAATTACGTGTCAGGGCTTACGTTACATTTGAATATTAAAAACGCAAAAAATGTAAATAGCGCGCCCTTGACTAGATCAAAAAAAAAAAATAAAATAAAAGACCAGGGAACAACATAATTAACAGGAAAGAGACAATTCTAGATGCAATCATGAAGGGCCTGTCTTGACTCTTGTGATACTGAATGTTTCACGATCTTAGATTCTGCCGCTTCAAAATACCAAATTAAGATCAAAGAGGCATTGCATATTAAGTGGGAAAAACCCATTCTTAATCAGCAATTGAAGCATCTAGAATAGAACTGACAAGAGAACCCTGATGGCTTTTTTATATTTTGATATTCGTTTAAAGCCACGCACCTTAAAATCAAATTGCAATCAGTCTGTATTTGAAGCAGCCTGTGTAACGGTTTTGAAACCTTTTTTTGGCAAAGATATGCCATCTGTTGAAATATCTGTTGCATTCCAATAGAGGGAGTGTGCCACGCCAACATTTTTACTCCTTTGTCACCGAATCAGTTCCATTGACATGCGATATTAAGGAAACAGCATGGAACAAGTTTACTTGAATAATGAGTAAATTTGGTCGAGTTTATTCTGAAATACCTGTGGTTTTTGATAAAGGAAACCAGTTGTATATAAATTTAATTTGGAGAATAGTTTACCAATAGATATTGGGCGGCTTCCAATAACATGAAGCTCGTATTCTAATACTTAAACCTAGGGTTCAATTCAGAGTGTCGTGTCTTATTTGTGTCTGCCCACTAAAATATTTTAAGAACGTAGCACATGAATTCCAGCAATGCGAGTTCCAGCACGTTCACGTTCACGTGACCTTTTTCGTTTTTTTTTTTTTTTTTATGAATAAGTACTTTGGAACTCTAGTTTCTCGAAACGTTGGTATCTGAGTTAATTCGTAAAGTTCGCGAAGGATTTTTGCAAAAGATTCAGAGAGTTTCGAAGCGACGTGGAGCGACATAGGTAGAGAGGCTGATTTACGACGCTGTGGAACTCTGAAGAAAAAAGAAATTAAACGTGGAGTTTACACAGAGGTTATCTTCATTATTAGAATTTGCACATATATATTGTAAAAAATAGGAAAAACGTGCATCAATTCCTCGGTGGAGCTTGATGAAGTATTAATTGTCAAATATTATGCTTTTCCTTTGTGGCCTCAGCAGAATATCTTTGAACGCAATCCCTCTGTAACTTAAAATCAGTGGTAAAGTTTCTTTTTTTGTTTCACCAGAGCAGTGCAATTTTAAACCTTTTTTCCAATGCTGCATAATTATTTGATCACTCAAGGATTTGTTCAGGAATATCCACGAATGCAGTTTTTCTCTAGCAATTTTCCACTTATCTCGGTCTCCTTTTATACGAGAAAGTAACTTCCAGCTCGTGATGACTTTTTCTTGCGTTCATATCAATCAGGTAAGCCTTCGCCAAAAGAATAATAACAAAATATTTCCTGTAACCCCAGTCAGACTATCCGACTCTCTGTCTATGTGTTAGTTGCATGCAATATTCTAATCAGGTCCATCTATATCAGTCGTTCTGGCCCAGCCAGTCTTCGGACGGGTCGTGGATTGAAACATCAAAGGAATAGACTAAAAGACTAGGTTTACACTGAGTTTAGCTATGCTTACATGGCTAAAAGATTCCAAAAATTATTCATGAGAAGGAGAGAGGTTTTGATTAGGATTAGGTCGCAACTACGGGCGTGGAAAGTAAAATTTTTGGCCGCCGATGGGTTTTTTTTGGGGGGGAAATAGGTAGGGAAGAAAGGGGCGGATTCTTGCCCTTTTGATTTTGAAAAGATGACCTGACAAACGCATCACTCAAATTCTTGATAGAAAAACCTTATCTGACGCCAGCACTCTTAAATATACTGGGAAAAGCCTGACAATATGGAAATAAGTGTTTAGTATACTCACTTTTGTTTTATCTTGGTGATCTGGAAAAGTGAAAATCTAGAGAGATGAAATTAAGTGTTTAGCAACCTTATCTGCATATTTCCCTATTTCCAGACTAGCAACTTAAAATAAAAGTGAATGAGCTAAGGACTTAATACTTGCATATTTGTATATTTCCACATTCTGCTTCCAGCAGTGGTTTACAATCTAGACAAGGGACATGAAAATGTTTTCGCAAAGATTAAAAAAACAATATGTGTATCAGTGGCAGTGGAAGTTGTTATTTTCCTATGCAAGAGGAACTGAAAGTGAAACTTTTCTCTCACAGTTTTGTTTTCTGGTTCTAGA